GGCACTAAATAAATGAAATAAAATTTAATTGGCTATAAGTTGTATTTACCAAGAGGGCTCTCATGAGATGGTCCACAATGAGTAAGAGTGAATTTGGTATTTTAGTTTTTAAAAAATACAGTATTGCATTAACTCCATTTTTGATGTAGCTGGTAGTGTTGCATGTTGATTGGTTAGTTAGCACACATGTTCATATAAGCACCTGTTTGCACACACTTTGTTAAACATTAAATTAAACCCTTCTCTCACCCCAACCGGTCGTGGCAAATGGCCGCCCCTCCCTGAGCCTGGTTCTACCGGAGGTTTCTTCCTGTTAAAAGGGAGTTTTTCTTCCCACTGTTGCCAAAGTGCTTGCTCATATGGGGTCATATGATTGTTGGGTTTTTCTCTGTATGTATTATTTTAGGGTCTGCCTTACAATATAAAGCTCATTGAGGCAACTCTTGTTGTGATTTGGTGCTGTATAATTATCCAGGTACTTACGTGTCACTTGTGCAATCTTAATTAGTAAGTGTAAGTATGGATGCTCAGGCCACTGTGAAGACTTCCTTTACTGCTAAAATAGTAGATGTCACCAAACTTAACAATCATTCTGACCTTTCTTCAGGAATATGGAGCTCCATGAAAAAGTTTTACGTTTACTAAGATCAGATATATTTCTAACACGTCTCGTCACATGTGTGTTGCACACAGAAAAATGGACTGCACTCTTTCTTTGATCCTCTTTTAAACGTTCCCTTTCTCCTCTTTTCCTCTTGGTTGTTTGTTACCATTTCAGCTTTTAGGAGACTCCAGGAATAAGGTAGTTGGTCATTTTGCATTTCTGTCCATGTATCCATGCCATCATGCACTAACCAAGTTAAGAAAACACTAATGCAGCTTGCCTCATCATAATCGCTCCTCCACCCCAAAGCCTTCTTATTTCTTTATTTTTCTTTATTTTTTTGTTTCACTTTGAATGTTTGTCCATCGCATCCCTGATGTGAGCATCTGTGGTACCAGAGCAGAGACACGTCTTTGTGGTATAAATGTGTCGAACCTCATTGTTTTGGCACATTGCTAATTTTTTGAGATAAGATTAAATATGCTCTTCTGTTTGACATGTCCCCCACTGCAAGGCCTTTGCTTACTTGTGGCACTGCTTGACTGGCTTTTTATAGGAAGAATGAAAGAAAATGCTTTAAAATGTATTAGAAGAATTTTATATCATCTACGTACAAATTTGGACTTTTAATTTTCTTAAACTGTTGAGAAAACCGCATGGCTACCAGATGCAACAGGCAAGCTTTTATCAAGATTGTTACCTCACAGCCGGTCAGTATTTCGGTCTTTCCTTCTCAGAGGAAGACATTGAGACGGAGGTACGAATCCCCGGGGATGTACTCTGACGACGATGCCAACAGCGACGCATCTAGCGCATGCTCGGAGCGCTCGTACGGGTCACGAAATGGAGGAATCCCACATTACTTGCGCCAGACGGAGGATGTGGCTGAGGTCCTGAACCACTGTGCCAGTTCCAACTGGTCTGAGAGGAAGGAGGGCCTGCTGGGCCTGCAGAACCTCCTCAAGAGCCAAAGAATACTGAGGTGGGAGCGAGCTGTCTGTGGGGTATAAAAATACATATGCAAGAAATATGTGCTTTAGTATTTGGGGACTAGTTATTGTTATTATGATCTTTCTCCAGAGTGGTTCAAAGGTGCACACAAAGTGCATTCAATAATTTCATTATCCAATAAGAATCAAAACTTAAATTTCAAGTTGTCCGATCACCCTCTGCTTTCTGTGAAAAAATATTGTAGCGGGTACAGCTTGAACTCTAGTGGGTACAAGGTGCACTAAAAACACAAATACAGTCTTTGTTCACCACCCGCCCAAGTTGCCAGATTTGGGTCCCTGCGACTTTATCCGCTTCCCAAAATTGTTTAAACGTAACCTGAAAGATCACAAAGAAGATTAATGGGGGCAGAAGGTGACTTTCAGCAGCGTATCTATAAATGAAAGTTTGGCGATGCATTCGCAGATGACCTTGAACGGGAGATCGGCCAATTGAAATCAGATAAGGGTTTTTTTTTCGAGGCAGCTTCTCTGAACTTTGGTCACCCAGTTAGTTACGCAATGTTTCCCATTCACAGACTTTACTTGGCCGGCTGTTCAGGTTTATTAACAGCTACCCAATTGTTTTTACACCTTATTTTTTATTAATTCACATTTTTTTCTATTGTGAATAATTTCCTCGCTCTCATTTTGAAAGTTCAGCCACCGCTAACCAGTCAGCCTCACCTTTTTTTTTGTCGGGTATTTTCTCCCCCGGCTAGCTTACTGTCCAGGTCGCTATTGTCATGGGTCTCTGGTCGTGTCCAAATTCATGGGCTGCATCCTCCTGAGG